TGTTAGGAACCGTGGATTCAATATAACTTCTTTGCTCTTTGGTTCTTTTATTGTGATCTCAGTTCTAACTTCTTCTAACTTCTTTCACAAATCTGTTCGGCTTATATGTGCTACAATCAGACAGTGTTTGGGTTTTACCTGGGGTATTAAAATTTACCCCACACCAATTTGCAGCCAATCCTTTCCTTTTCCTGGGATTAGAACTTTCTGGGAATGGTTGGTTTTGTCTGGTTTTGTGGGATCCCGTGAGGGATGTGCCCCTGGCTGATGGTACCACATATAGCTCTCCAATATAAAATATATCTACAAATACTTTCTTAAAACATCTATTTTACCATTATTCATGATTCATGCTATTTGCCAGGCTGGGCATGGTTGGACGCGTGAACTACGGCGACTCCCGATCCTGGCCGATCGTCGTTCCAGGCGCGACCACCCATACCTAGCCTTGGCCTTCCCTAATCCACGTATTGAATAACGTTTACTTTATTCGGATTTAATTATTACGTAGGCCTGTAATAGTATCCGCTTAGGTAGTACGTCATATCCATACGATATATATATCTATGATCTTGCACGTGTTTTATCACATTTAGCGAGCAGCTCGACTGTTTTAAAATTAAGTTGTTTATTCTGCGTTTATTCTGGCTGCGTTTACAAAATGTCTGACTTTAACTTTGACGAGTGGGCAAAGGAGGCCAAGTTAAAAGAAGCGACCAAAGAATGTCTCAAAGCAAAAGATTTCGATGAGCAGGAGGCCCTAGAGCTCATCACTTTAAAAGACATTGACGCCATGGATATAACCCTCGGGCAGAAAAGGTTGCTTGAAAAAGCAATAATAAATTTGAAAGGTGGTCCGACCGATACGTCTAACCCTACGCCTAACCCTACGGCAGCACAGAAACCGGCCGAAAAGATAACGACTTCAACCCTCGCAAAAGAGTCTGGCCTGAACGCCCTGCTTCGACAGTTCGAAACGGACGGGCAATTGGACCTACTGGTCAACGGTGCCGAGGTGATCAATCCAGAGAAAACCTCTGCTCACCTACCAACC